TATATATATATATATATATATATTTATATGTAAAAACACACACACACACACACACACACACACACACACATCTATATATAATTTTAACTGATTTACCAGGTTTGTCGACCTTTCTGATGTAGTTGGACAAAAAAATCTCAGTTCAAGTCCTTTTCCTCAAGCCATGACCACTTGAACGTGTTCCTAACACTCGCATCTGTTGCACGAATTTTAACTGATTTACCAGGTTTGTCGACCTTTCTGATGTAGTTGGACAAAAAAATCTCAGTTCAAGTCCTTTTCCTCAAGCCATGACCACTTGAACGTGTTCCTAACACTCGCATCTGTTGCACGTATGTCAGCTTGTCTGTCTACCTGTTTGAACATTGCGCTGCGGCCGATCATGCATGAATTAGCTTCCACAAAACGCTCTCGAAATACTCGACATTCAATGATTAATCTGCCTTTTGTGTGCACATGTGCACCCTTTGTGGCTTCGTTCTTGCCGAAATTTCGAAATCTCCGAGATATGTTGAGGCCATGAGAATGCAAGGTGAGGGTGTTACTGTTGTCGTGACGCCACTCGAGCGAAGCACGCCTCAGCAGTGGATAGTCCGCTGCTCTCTGCTGTGCATGCGTCAGCGCGAACATGTACGCACGTGCGCGTCTTTTGGTTTCAACCAATCAGCGCCGACGCAACTGACGTCACAAATCAAAGAAGCTTTGACAACAGCTAAGCTAATCTAGCCGAGACAACACAACGCTCGAAGTCGAACGGGCACCTTTTTCTGCTAATCTGTGCGTTTCCCTTTTTGTCCAAATATATTTTTTTTACTACAACAACTGTCTTGTCCACGGCGTCTTTTATTCGTTCCACTGGGGTTTAACAAATGTGTTTATAAAGAGACGAAAATGTCTTTACTGTTCCTAGTGTTAGTGCCTCAACATGGCTACGCTCGTGAAAGCAAAACAACGAACTCAAATGTTCGTTCAATGTTGTCAACTAATATCCGGATTAATTTTAGGAAATTTTTCCTCAATTTTCCGGAGGAATTTTTATGAAAATTTGAAAATCCGGAATTCCGGGAAAATCCGGTGGACTTTCATCTCTGCCAAAGACAGCTGGTATAGGCTCCAGCACCCCCCGCGACCCTTGTGAGGACAAGCAGATCGGAAAATGGATGGATGGATAGTTCAACAAAACACGATATACTCTTCAGAATGAACTTAATGTGACCTTCTCATCACTTTTAAATGCACATGTCCAATTGTTAAATGTTTCAGTACTTACACAAGTTTCATGTTATTTCTCTGAACACTGCAGGTTTTTCTTTCATTTACAAATGGGCACCAACAACTTTATCCACTTGAGTATCACATTTTCATGAAAAAATTAATAAAAGTAAGAAAAATAATTACCAGATCTGGCTTAATTGATGTTGTTCCTCAGTTTGTACTCAAGTACATCATCGCTGTGCTGCTTGAAGAGCTGCATGAGGTGGAGAGACAATTGTATATTTTAGACCAGTGATTTTCCAACTGGTGTGCCATGAGAAATTTGGGGTGCTCCAGGAAATCAACTGATTTCAGTGAATTGGTCGGAAAATTATTTAATTACAGATTTATATATATATATATATATATATATTTCTTATATATATTTTTTGAAGCCATTCATAAAAGAGAATATGTCTGGCTACTTGTTGCAAGTATTTCAGCTTTGTGAGAATGTTTCCCATGGAAATTGGGTGCCTTGGCTAACATGGGGAGTTACTGCCACCCCATCCTAAAAAAAGACAAAACATTTTCACGTTCAACTGTCTGTCTGATCTGACAGTACATAGTTAAAATAAGCAACTGAGAAAACATCCTTCTCTAGTCCCTGCCTCTATTTTTTTTTTCAATTTAAATATAAAACTTGTCACACCATGATAACATTAGCCTAGCCTGTGGCAGAACGAAATGAACGAGACATAGGGCTGGGTCGTGTTTCATGAGAGTTAGAAAGATAAAACTCTTTCATTGATCGATTTAGCAAATTTTCTATTTTTTTTCCCCACAGTGGTTATTTTGCCATGATTGGAAACTCACCACCAGGCATTTTGCCGTGAATCGTGCGAGAACTACAAATACAAATTTTGCGCGGATTAAAGTCTGCTATCTTGTAAGGCAGTGGTCACTCCAAATGTACTGCTTTATTCCTTTGCCTTCGTGTCACAGGTTCGAATGCCACTCTGTACTGTTGTATTTTATTGTATTTAAGTTGTTCACTATGTTTTCAATTTCTTGCAGCCAGTGGCGAATTTTAAACAAGCCACTTTGTTTCATGTATACATTTCCTTTACTAATGTAATACAGAGAATGAGAGATTTTGATTGATCTAAATCAGCCTTCCTCAACTGGCGGACCGCGATCCACGACCGGACCGCCGACCTCCTCTGTCCGGACCTCCTCTGTCCGGGCCCTCGGCAAATTGTATAAAATAATAAATTATAAAGTGAATTTTACGTTATACATTTTATATTTGTGGACTATAATCTGCGCATTACCGCGATCGCTTGTTAAAATTATCCGTTTTATTCTTTGCGTGCACTAACAGATGTATTGCAGAGGACCGCTGCAGCGCGACTGTGTGTTGTATGTTTGACTAACTGGAGACCCGGCTGGGCAGGGCATGTCGGCGATAACGACGCGCTGATTGGCTCCTCTGAACTTAAGGTGTGCCCATACATAAGCGTCAGCACGCGTCTATCCCAATACACATGCATTCAAAATGGATGATTGTGTCAAGAAACATACGCATGTGCGACGCCACAGTGTGCTACTGCTCACAGCTTCAGTCCAGGAGAGCCGCACACAGACAATTAGACGAATCGCGGGAGGTTTCGATTGTGTGCAGTTTTGCTCCCGTCTACCCGGGGATCTTTGCAGCTGTTTACCAGCAGAACACCGCAACATGGTAAAGGATCATCACAATGGCGTCCTCAAATAATATTTGCATGCCTCAGACATTGCATTCACCTTTAGTGGAAGAACAGCACTGCACATTCCTGTGCTCCCTTGTGTCTTTTTTTTAAAATGGTTCTTAACTCCTCTTCTGATGTTTCAGTGATTTCAGAGGGGATGTGAAAAGGGGAATTGTACAAATGAAAAGGATATTTTTGTTTTCATGTTTAGTATTTATTTTGGTAAAATGAGTATTTTGTTAAATTGTTTCGTTAAATTAAGGGAAAAAAAGACAACTACTGTTTAACAAAGTTAAAGTAAAAATTGTCTTATTTCCCTAAAAGGGCTATTTCTATTATTAAGCAGGCACAACTTAACAAAATAAAAGAATTCCTGTGCCTCAACACAATACCTCTCATTATTTGCTGTGTACTGGCAAAGTGAATAATTGTTATTTTCATGCACCCCATTATTGGTTGGTTGTGAGGAGTGTTGATTTGTATAAGCTTGGCTTAACCATACTAAATGGGCATATAGCCCTGCTCCCCATGACCGCCGTGCATGGGACCGGACCTTGGTCTTATTAAAAAAAAAAAAAGTGGACCTACAGCATTTCTAGTTGAGGACCACTGATCTAAATTTACACTTTGGGGCAGCCCAGTGTTTGACTGGTGAGAACGGACGCCTCACAGTGCAGAGGTCATCGGTTTGATTCCGGTCGGTGGCCTTTCTGTGTGGCGTTTGCATGTTCTCCCCGTGCCTGCGTGGGTTTTTTTCCGGGTACTCCGGTTTCCTCCCAGATTCCAAAAAAATGACCGGTAGGTTAATGGAACACTCTAAATTGTCCCTAGGTATGAGTGTGAGTATGGATGGTTGTTCGTCTGTGTGCCCTGCGATTGGCTGGCAACCAATTCAGGGTGTACCCCGCCTACTGCCCAAAGACAGCTGGGATAGGCCACAGCACACCTGCAACCTTTGTGAGGATAAAGTGGTTCAGATAATGGATGGACGGATGGATAAATGTACACTAATGTTATTGAAACGGGTCAATGACACTCATATTTATGGGGAAAAAAAGGTTATTTTAGAAGCTTTTGGCAACAATCTTGAATAATGACTGTCATCTTGGATTTTTAAATGGCCCCATGTACAGACTTGATGAATAAGCCCTAGAGAACAGCTGAGACAAGTAATGCTTGTATCATAATTTGATTGATGTTTCTGTTATCTGTTCTACTAGATGTTGGACAGGCCAAAAATTATACAGCTGACACGTTGTATATGTGCCTTAGTGGCGTGGCTTAGTGGGTGGTATCAAGTTTTGCCCTACTGCAGCTCCGTGCAAGCGTTTTCATTTTGGACTTGTGTGTTTGACTATTTGCCTCTTTCAATCGGCATCTTAAGATCTCCTTTTTGTTCTCCTTCACTTGAGTGGCAGCGTATCTGAAGCTCACAAACATTGGCATTTACAATTCTCTCAGTAAATTATAATTTACCAGACTCCACAGGAAAACAGACGATCCAAAGGCAAGACCCACTCGTAGCCAGTTGGGGGAATTAGTATCACGCTTGGAACTTGTAAACACAGACCTGGACCCAACTGCAAACAGACAGTGGTGACCATTAAAACATTGTCCACTTGCACACTTTTACGCCTGGTTATTTTCTAAACACACACACACACACACACACACACACACACACACACACACACACACACAAATACAGACAGGATCAGGCAAATTGATCTGACACATTTGTAGGTTAAATAAAAGGCAAATAAAGTAAAGAAACAAAAAAGTGTTCTTACTTTTCGAAAAGTACATATAATGCCATTCTGGTTCATTATGTTTTAAAATTTAAGTGGAGTTCTGGCGGTGCGAGGTAGGCCGGTTGATTTTCGTTTCAATGCAGATCCAATAGCTCTGAAGATGGTAACCCATAACAAGATCGTGTTTTGAACTGGTACATGTCTACCAGTGGCGGATGCTGGTCTGTCAAAGAGGGGAAGCTCAATTTTGGCCGAAATCATAAAATGTTTATACGTGAATTCTACTCTCCGTTCCTTTTCAAGAAAATGATCTGTGACCCCGTCATACCAACAAGACGTCTTTTCCAGGGACTTAATTAGTGTCCTACAACTACAGGAATTACAATAAAACCCACCAGAAACAAAAGATTAATTTGTCGCTAGTTGTTTACAACAAAGAGTGTCGCTAAGATGATTAGGAGAAGTCTCCAGCTCAACTCAGAACAGAATGCGAATTGAAAAATTGCTCACATGGATGCCTACACTAAAAGGTCGGCGATTGGCTCATTTCGATGTCAATCAAACTGGCACACAGGGTCAGACAGATCATCCAATCTGATGCAGAAAAGCCTGGCGTCCGGTACCCTCCCACTGCCATCCAGTCCCAGAGACGCCGAGCGTCCGTGGGCGGTACAAAAACCAGCTTGTATCCAATGACTCGTCTCCGTTCAACGCATTGGGACAACCTACACTGAACTCTCGAGACGCTCAGCTTCCGGGCAATAGACGCTCCGCGGACACTCAGCGTCCACCAGTTAAAGCACAGCGAAGCTGTGGGAATGAATGAGAAGGGAGTCGCGTCGTAACCAGTAAGAAGAAGCTGATTCAGAACAAAAGTTGAGCACGTTGTAGCGCATATTTAGTCAATGACATGTACACGCAATGAAATTTACATTCATATATTTGATCACTTATTCTTTGACATTTTAGGGGAAGCCGAGCTTCCCTTGCAGTCCGAGAGCAATCGCCACTGATGTCTACGTCTACCAAGATTGAAGTGCAAACGGAACGCACGCTCGTTGTGTTGCAGTTACAGATTCGTTTGTTTTGATAAACGTTTCCACAATGAAAGCGCAATGCTGACCAGTACAATTCATGGCAGCGACTGAAAAAGAAACGAAAAACAATGGCATTATAAAGAAACAACGCCAAATGGCATTATATGAAAAAAGGCATTCTATGTACTTTTGGGAAATAAGAACACTTTTTTGTTTCTTTACTTTATTTGCCTTTTATTTAACCTACAAATGTGTCAGATCATTTTGCCTGACCCTGTGTGTGT